TAATTATACCCGCCTCCACTATTTCTGGCAGCTTGTTCCACACTCTGCATGAAAAATTTACCCCGCAAGACCTTCTTAAATATTTCCACTTTCACCTATGCCCTTTAGTTTTAGACTCCCCTACCTAGGGAAAAGACGTGGGCTATTCACCCAATCCTTGTCCCTCATGATTTTATAAACCCCTATAAAGTCACCCCTCAGCCTCCAACGCTCCAGGGAAAAAAGTCCCAGCCTATTCAGCCTCTTGCTATAACTCAAACCATTCAGATGGAAAGAAATTGAGTTGCTGTGAATTTGAATTTAAAGCAAGATGACCAGTTTTTAAAATATTGTATTAAAATGCAACTACACAAGTGACAGTATTTGTGAAAATGTATACTTTAGTAATAATAGATCCATGGACTGGAAACCAGGAAAACAGAATCATTTATTCTCTGTCAATACAAAGTCTTATAACAACAATAACAGGTATTATCTTAAATTCTGCAAAGTCAGCGAACAAAGTGCTCAAGATAGCAGGAAGGCAGCACTTGTCTTAAGTTGAAGGTGTACCCAATGCAATATGAGTATGGTACAATGAGATTCATGGCTATCACAATGCCTGATGTAACTGATCACATGATTCTTACAACAATAAGAGAGAAGACCCAAGACTAGAATGTGAAGAGAGAGGTCTTAGGCACTACACTAGTTAGTTGTATTTAATAACCTACTACACATGTAAATAAACAAGACAGTCTAAAAGGAGTTTAAGACCCATACTTAGAGATAAAGAGCAAACAGCCAAAGGAACAGCATATGTAAAAACACCCACAGTCCTACCTTCTCCAAACAAGTAACTCACTGTGCAGGTAGCAGTTGTGGCTTAAGCACAAGATAAATCAATTATAAGGGAGAATAATGAGTTGAATATCCGTTTAAAACCCCCCACTGCAAGGCTGGTTTCCTTGGCTGCACTCAGGAACTACTAGATTTTGGAATTCACACTCCCAACAAGATAACTTTTTTGAGGAGCTAGAATGTACCCAAGGATTTCAGATTTAAAGAACGCAGCCTGCCATCATTCTTGGGCTCTGATCAACACTGGACCACTGACCTTATAACTGTGCGCGCCCCCGCCCCATCTTACCCACTTTTTCACTGTCCCTGAATATTTACCTTGCCAATGTTTCTCCCCAGTCTTATGTCCACACTCCCTCCCCTGCCTCTTTTTCTCCTCAAGATCCATTTGCCTGAGAACTGTTGTGGCACTATCAGCAGCTCTCAAGCAGGATCTGCATTGATGATTCACTGGCTGGCTACTCGTACTAAATTAGCTTGTTAAAATAAGGCCCAAGGTCAGATATCAGGGCCACGACAGATCTCATCACTCAGGTAAGAAATTACACCCTCTTCCTGGATTTTAACTCAATGTGTCTTTAAAAATATACATTACTTGTAACAATAAATAAACAAACAACATTTTATCACAAACTAGGTAAAATTTTAGGCTCTTAATGGTACTCTCGAGCAGATATTTCGATTTTGTTGATTTCCTCTGTCCTGAATAAATTCTGCTTCAGCTGTACAGTGTACAAATAAACTAGTCAAATATTATTTTGCTATCTCAACAAAATTCCCTTTACTTCTAGTAGTTTCATTGCAAGTCATATTAAAGAAACCTTACAGTGGTTACTTAGTACATAATTAATAATAGCAACTAAAAGCAATGAATAAAAGCATTTTTTGAGAGTAATATGGAACTAAGGAGAATTCAACAGTATTTGACTCTTATGTAGCTTTAGTTGGTGAGCCTCAAAAGTATTTACTTTCTACATATAAGGACCATGTCTGTTAGTTTTGCGTTTTTGAAAACTGGAGACCAAAATGAAAAAGAGCTGTTTTAAAAAACTGTGTTTGAAAGGGTGGCTGCAGTTTGGAAAGCTAGTAAAATGACACCCATACAAAAGAAAATTACTGTGGATGTTGTAATCTGAAACTCACAGAGAATGTTGGAGAAACTCAACAGGTCAGATAGCATCTGTGGAGACAGAAACAGAGTTAATGTTTCGAGATCAATATGATGTCCCCAGTGTCAAAGATGCCAATCTTTAGCCAATTCGATTCATTCCACATAATATCAAGAAACAGTTGGAGGCACTGGATACTGTAAAAGCTATGGAGCCTGACAACATTCTGGCAATAGTATGGAAGACTTGTGCCCCCAAATGTGTAGCACCCCTAGTCAAACTGTTCCAGTATAGCTACAATACTGGCATCTGCCTGACAATATGGTACATTCCCAGGGAGATCCTGTACACTATAAGCAGGAGAAATCCAACTCGGCCAATAATCATACCATTAGTCTACCCTCGATCATTAATAATGCGATGGAAGGTGTCATCAACAGTGCCACCAAGCAGCACTTGCTTAGCAATAACCTGATCACTGATACCCAGTTTGGGTTCCACCAGAGCCATCCAGTTCCTGACCTGATTACAGCTTTGGTTCAAACATGGAAAAAAGATCTGAATTCCAAGGGTGACGTAAGAGTACTCACTCTCGGTATCAAGGGCACATCTGACCAAGTGTAGCATCAAGCAGCCCTAGCAAAACTGGAGTCAATGGGAACCAGGGGAAAACTCTCTGCTGGATTGAGACATACCTGGCAAAAGGGACGATGGTTACAATTGCTGGAGGTCATCTCAGCTCCAGGGCTTTGCAGGAGCTCTTCAGGGCAGTGTCCTAGGCCCATCCATTTTCAGCTGCTTCATCAATGACCTTCCCTCCATCATTAGGTCAGAAATGAGGATGTTCATTGTCGACACCTTCCAGACCTATGATCACTGTCATCTGGAAGTATTAGGGCAGCAGAACACCATCTGCAAGTTCCTGTCTGAGCCGTTTACTATCCAGACATGGAGATAAATTGCTGTTTCTTCAGTGTTGATGGGTCAAAATCCTGGAACTCCTGGCCTAACAGCATTCTGGGTCTACCTTCAGCACTTGGACTCTAGTAGTTCAAGAAAGCCAATACCTTCTCAAAGACAACTTGTGACATGCAGTAAATGCTAACCCAACCAGTGATGGCCACATCCCAAGAGTAAATTTTAAAAAAATCTCACTGGTTACCAATCGACTTTGATGAGCTTGTCATCATTGCTCAGGTCATCCTCACTAGTTATTGAAGTAATCACAGGCAAACCAATCTTTTGTAGAATGTAGCGGGAGGCTTACAGGGACAAAGGTACCATTTGTTCAAATAACTGTAGTCGTAATGTCTCCATGGGATAAAAATGGGGAGAGGTTTGACAAATGGCAGCTGCTGGAGGTTCAAAATTAATTGCCATGTGCAATTTTTTTCAAAATAACTTATCAATTTCCATCTTAAGTGCTTATGTTTCCAAAACCAAAACTCGTCTCTTTTCACAACTGTTACGTAATACAAAAAAGGGATTATTTTGTCCTGTGTAGTAAGGACTTTATAATCCTCAGGAGACAGATTTACCGTCAAAACCATAATCTTCAACTTTAGAATTGAGCATGATGTCTGCACTCATGCATTGCTGGAGCATTCACAGTAAAAATATTTAAGTGAAATCTTGAGGTTCAGATTTATGAGAGCAAGACAGTGTTACCACAAAGTACCAATTCTGCCAACAGATAAATATTTGATTGATGATAAAAATATTGTTACATGTTTTAATTATTAAAAATAACAACAGCAAAGTCTTTAAGATATATTGACTTGTCATCATATTCATCACAAGACAAATACATAAAGCAAAGCTAAATTAGTATGAACATTTCATCTACTATGTTAATGAATGTCCAATATTATATATTTACCAAAATCTTAAAATGTGTTGATTAACGTTTATTTAAGTTTAAAGTAATTTAAATTTAAATAGGAACATTAGAGTTACAAAATATTTACCAGAAGCTACGCATCGTTTAACAGAACACAGTTACTGCCCTAGGCATTACATATGTCATCAATTTGTAGCTCAGACTGCATAAGAACTACTCACTCATTTCTTTCAAGTTCGATGACCAACTGTTTGCCTTCAGCTTCAATTAGGAACTTAGCCCATTTCGGGTGACTCTGTAGTAAAAAATACAAAAATCACAAAACATAGTATTTAAAATGCATGGGTAGTTAGACTTTCTGTTTGTAAATGTCTGATACTGTGTGAAATAGTGTTTAGTCTATTCACTGATTCCCGTTGTAGTATGTATCCAGCTGATACCAGGCTATTTTGAATCCTGGCATTTTACATATTAATATTAGAACTGCCTAACTGATAATACTGTGAATGCAGCCAGTAAAGTCCAGATTGTGAGGAACTGAAATGCTGCTTGGAATTAAATACTGACTCCCAAAGCAAGTTTGAAGACAGAAGATGAGAGATTTAAATGAGAAGCAACTAATGCCCACTTAAGTGCTTCAGTCCATTGCCACTGATCTTCAATCACCTCTTGCCTGGGGTCATTCACATATCCTGGGCGACTGGTGGGTGCATTAGAGGCAGCTGCTACCTTAAAAAGTGCCAGTCTGTGGCTGGGCTGCAGCTCTTGGCAGGTGGGATTTTCACCCCTGAACCTAGGGAAGTCCCACTGCCGACCACTTAAATAACTGATTGGCATTTAATATGGGGGCCTTTCCCAAAGAAGGTGGCACGGGGCTCTTACCTGCTCTCCAGCCAGTGGACCAGGTCCCATCGCCTGGTTAAATAATGCTCCTTGAATGAGTATGGAGAAATGACTATAATATTCTACTTCTCCTTATCTCCTTTGGCCTTAAGTATAATGGAAAGTGAAAGAGCTAACTCATATAAATGTAGATTGCCCCTCAATGGATGTTAATTCTCCTGTGTTAATTAAGAATTGAAACTGATTCTATACCTGGAGAAACACTTAACACAGCTCTTGAAAGCTTAGACGTAGGTATAAAAAAATGCTTGTTGGCTGATGGGTGATCCCTCTTTCAACTTTACAATTTACCTTCTGGCTCCATTACACATGCACTGTTACAGCTAAATGTCTTCTGAACTTCTTGGCCCTGTTTTGCTGAAGTTGTGAATACACTACGTTCCTCTTCCCAAATGTTTAGAGTATTGTAATTGAGACTCATTGCACAGTTTTCTATTGGTTCAAGTGAGCTCTGAACCTGTTACAATAGAGGACAGACAACTGCATGTGATCGTGTCAAGTTGTTATAGCCTAACAGTAATGCAGTGTAATTTCAGGGTGAATTGACATACCAAAGAAATAACCTGCATGTGATAAATTGATTACAGCTATCTTTCTTGTTGTTCTACTTAACAGATCATGCATGGCCTAAGAGATTCATTGTTGTTCGATATTGTCTGAATTAATGTATTATTCCAATCTCTGACACCCTAAAGTAAAAGATTTTACTGATGATAAATGAACTGAAGGTAATCAAATAGTTCATACATATTGAGGTAGATTTTCTAAGATCTGCAGTCAGATGCACTCAATTGCCTAAGCCCTGCCAATATTGAAAAATGATTGGTGATGTCTAAAGGAAAATGAGTTAGAATTTGATATAGGCATACATTTTGACTCACACTGTTTTCTGATATTTGCTGTATCAAAGCTATTCAGCTTGTCCGCAGATCCAGGAAACGCTAACCTTTTAACTGAAGTGCACACACTTGAACTTAAGTCTTCACTCTCTGTTACAACCTTAGCTAACACAGAAAGCTATAACAGATGATTTATACATGTACAGCTGCGTCAAGAGTAAACCCCACAGTGATGAAGAAATCTTCTTTCAATTTGGCTGAACGTCTGGCATCTGTGGGTCATGTAATCTGCATGGTCTGAAACTAATATTGCCAAAAAATTGAAATTCAGACATCGTTAAGGCAGAGGTGCTTCCTTCAAATGCATTTAAGAAGTGTAAGATTTTGCTTTCTCCCTGATAGCTGCATTTTTTAAATTATTTCATTACCAAAAAATTTATCATATGATTAAACATTAACTTCCAGAAAAAACCCAAAGCCATTTATATAGGAACCAAGGAATGCTTACCCATTACCTAGTTCATGGCTAGGCTTTGATCTTAACTCAATTTTCTTGCACTATTTGCTTATTCCTTGATATCTTTAATATAGACATATGTCCATTTCTGTCTTGAATATACTTAATGACTGAATCATCATAACGCTCCGGGTTAGAGAATTCCATCCTCTGAAGAAATTCTTCCTCAATCTCCTAAATGATCTATCTCTTATCCCGAGACTGTGTTCGCTGGTTCTAGACACAGCACCCAAGGAAAACATTCTTCCCTCATCCTCCTTGATGAGTCCGGTCAGGATTTCGTATGCTTTAATGAAATCCCCTCCCAGTCTTCTAAATTTTAATGAATAAATGCCCAGTGTCCTCAATACCTCCTCATGAAGCAACTCCATTATCCGAGGATCTGTCTGATAAACTTTCATTACACTTCCTCTGTGGCAAGTTCCTTAGGGAAGGAAACTATACACAATGCTCCATGTGCAGTCTCACCAAGGCTCTATACAATTGCAGCAAGACTTCTTTACTCCTGTAATGCTTCTGTAATAAAAGTCAATATACCAATTGCCCTCTCAGCGGACTTGCATGTTAGCTTACAATGATTTATGAGCAAGGACACTTGGCTATCTTTGAACATCAACACATTCCAATCTCTCACCATCTGGAAAATACTCTGCACTTCTGTTCTTCCTAACAAATTCACTTTCACACTCAGCTCTGTGTCACCAACAAATTTGGAGATATTACATTTGGACCCATATCTACGTCCTTGGTATGGGCTGTTAATAGCCCACCCAAGCACTGAGCTTAAGTCGCTTACTAGTCACAGGCTGAAATTGCATCTTCTTTATTTTTTCATGGGAACTGGGTGATGCTGGCAAGGCCAGCATTTGTTACCCATTCCTAATTGCCCTTGAACCAAAGGGCAGTTAAAAATCAACAACATTGCTATGGATCTGGAGTCACATGTAGGACAGACCAGGTAAGAATGGCAGATTTCCTTCCCTAAAGGACATCAGTGAAAAAGATTGATTCTCCAGCAACTGATGAGAGTTATCATGATCTTCATTACTAAGATTAGCTTTATTTTACGGATTATTTTTATTGATTCATGGGATGAGGGTGTCGCTGGCTAGGCGGCATTTATTGCCTATCTCTAATTGCCCAGAGGGCAGTTAAGAGACAACCGCATTGCTGCAGATCTGGAGTCACATGTAGGCCAGATCACATAAGGATGGCAGTTTCCTTCCCTAAAGGACATTAGTGAACCAGATGGATTCTTCCGGCAATTGAAAATGGATTTATGGTCATCACTAGGATTCTAATTCCAGATGTTTATTGAATGCAAATTCCACCATTTGCTGTGGCAGGTTTCAAACCCAGGTCCCCAGGACATTACCTGGGTCTCAGGAACAGTCCAGCAATAATCCCACAAAGCCATTGCATCCCCTTTCATTTCATATTCTACTAGTTACCATAGTGGGGTTTGAACCTGTATAATACCTACTCTGCTTGTTACATCTTCAAGAAACTGCAACAGATTTTGTCAAACATGATTTCTCATTCATAGATCCATGTTGACTACTCTCAATCTTAACATTATTTCCAATGATCACTTTATACTAGATTCTAGCAGTTTTTTCTGTTTAATTTGCATTAACTTCCAGATATGATTTTTTTAAATTTAAAATTTTAAGATTTTAATGTTTGTAAATGGATTTTCCTAAGTTTATATCCCACACAAATCAATTCTTTGACATTTATACCTATGCAACAAAAATTCAGCATATCTTAGTTTGCGGGGACTGTGGTAAAGTCATACAGACCAAAAAAATGCACAAATCACATTGAGAAATAGCTTGCTCATTGATGGTTTTTCAAGATCGGTTTATGAGATCCACCGAAAGCATAATAAGGTATCAAAATAAGGCATTGCATGAATTAATCTGGAAATCTCTATTTACAATGTTAGCATACAAACCCTAATGTATATGGAATTCTTCTATCTTCTAATTTAACATTTAAAAATATATTGTCGATTGCTACTAAGATAATGAACCAACAAATATTTGACCATTAGACGATGTTTGATATTAACCACATAAATTAATTTCTAAGTTATCCTCCCTTCTGACATTCATAGTCTTTATCCAAAGTGAATATCACCAGCAAAACATTTATATTAATGAATAATATACTATTTAAAACCATGTTTCACTAATGAAATTGATTTAAAATGGAAAAACCTGCCTATTTCACGTTTCCCTATTTCTATTCTTTCTCCACTTCATGTTTTCCACTTCCTTTTTTTATAGCATGGGGACCATTAACTTTGTCGGTTAAAGGAGCTCATGGGCTCCAAGGGAGTCATAAGTGCAGTTTATGGCACTGCTCCATCTTCCTGAAATGAGCATCTTCCATTAAGGTTATAACTAAGATTTTTTTTCAAACTAACTGCATCAACTATAAGATTCAATTGCTTCCCTGTTGGAAATGGGGATCCTAGTAGTTCAAGTTCAAGCTCTTTTAAGTGAAGACCCAGATGTCCAGTAACTGACTTGGGCAATGAACTGAACTCTTGTAAAATTGCTCTGTTCAGACGTTGGAAGTATTTGGACTATTGAGAATTCTTCGGGGCAGAAAAATGTACATAAACATCAGGCATTGTATGTTTATGAAACTTAATTAATCCGATGTTGTAGTTTTCTGACACACTGCTAACTAAATGCAAGTTATTGCTGTTTATCATTAACAGACTGTACTCAGTGTCTGTCTTTATAGTTCTCAGAATGAGGAGCACAGCTGGCAAACCATAGACCAGGAGAAAATCTGTTTCATCTCATGGGGTTTCCAGCGCCCCAAATTAAACAGAACAGTCTTTTCTTATATCCTCAGAAACAGTTGCCATGACTTCTTGCATTTTGAACGAATTACTTCTGAAATTCAGCAAGAACATGCATAATACATGTATAATCTCTTTTTCAAGTTAATAACTGGCAAAACTTGTAATACTGACTTGAACAGAGTAAAACAATTGGGTCCCTAGCTGGACATTAAACT